ACTGACGGTAAACTCCCATCAGATAGGATGATCTGTGTCTGATTTATCTTTGTGTCCCTCTCAGAGATTTACATGCTGTTGTTTTGAACTTGTAATGAATGGATGACTTGGGAAACATCCAATAACTCACTAGATTTTCAGTCAGAAGATCTTTGTATAGGTCTTAATTTCTGCTTAGTGGCCTCTTCCCATTTCAGAGGTGTTTGTTTGAATCATAAAAGAACTCAACAGCAATGATAGACTATTACTTTGGCAACTATGTCCCTCATCCAATGTTCAGGTCCTTATGAAGTTACCCAAAGGAGCCATGGTGAAACAGTGGATTAAGCATCAGGCTACTTACTAGAAGGTTGATAGTTCAAATCCACCAGGTGCTCCACAAGAGAAAGAGGAAGCTGTCTGCGAGTTCTACTCCGTCTTTTAGGGACCTGAATCTGAGTTTAACTTGACTGTGTTTGGGGTTTAGGGGTAGAGTTCCCTGCCTATTGACTCAAGGTTTGTCTAAGTGCCTTGCTCTGGCCATGGGGACGTTATTAAGCAAAAGCTTGATGAAAGCTTGCAGACTTGAGCTTATCTTGAAATGCTGGCTCTTGTAAGAACTTTTCTGGTCTCCTGATGAAGAAGCCATATCACCAGACCAGGGGAGAAGGGGAGAAGCTGTCAGACTACATGGAAAGAGTGAGAAAGCCAGCTATTCCCCATCCCAGTTGAGCCTAGCTTTTTGAGAATGACGAGATATTGTAAAATCCTGGCAACTTCATGCCATTAGGTTTTGGCATGGTTTTATATGCAGACAAGAAGCTCTGAGACCAAGTTCACAGAGAGTTGCACCACTACCTGAAAGGACATGCTTCTCTGGCAGTTCAAGTCCACCAGAGACACAAATGGAGAAGTAGGGATAATATCCCTGCCTTCATACAGTTTCAGCCTTGGAAATCCAATGGAGAGGTTGACATCAGAGTCAGTTCTGACTAGATGGCAAAGAATTTGAAGATGTTTTGTTTTAACCATCTACATTATACAGATGACACAACCTTGAATGCTGAAAGTTTATTTGAAAAGGAAAACAGTATGGTTTACAGATAACGTAGGTAGATGTAAAAGGAATAGATACAGTGTGGAGGTGGCTGAGTCTGACTTCTACTCACTTCATAAAGGGGAAGTTACCCCATCAGTAATATCCGTATTGTTGTGTGCCATTGAGTTGGAGCTGACCCAGAGTGGACCTTCGAGCAGGTTTTTAGAGGCAGTAATCATACAGGAGGAGATTGCCCATTCTTCTCCTAAGGAGCTCTGGTGGCCCAGTGGTAAGAATCTGTGCTACAATCTTAAAGGCACATGTTTCAAATCTACTAGCCGCTCTGTAGGAGAAGGATGGGTAATCTCCCATGTAGTTACTGCTTCCAAAACTCCACTGGAGGTTCAGCTATAAGTTGGTTTCAACTAGATGGCACACAGCAGCAACATCAAAAATGTCCATGTTGTTGTGTGCCGTAGAGTCAGAAATGACCCATAGCTGACCCTCCGGTGGATTTTCAGAGGCAGTTAATCACACAAGAGGAGATTGTCATCCTTCTCCTACAGAGCAGCTGGTGGCCTTGAACTATGTGCCTTCGGGAACCATAGCACCAGACAAATAGCTACCTAGTCAGACATGCCACTGGACATACTCTTGCACTTATTTTACAAATCATTGGATCCAACGTACATTGCAAGACTCACAAACTTTACTCACAGTTGAAGGGCTTATTGGTTGGAGAGTGAGGGAGGTAAAGAATATCTCACAATGCAACCCCAATGCAAGGTTTACTTCAGAAGTCACAAGCCAGAATAATAAGGCACAATTCCTCAATTAGTCAAAGTTCAGGTTCAGTTCAACAGCACAAATACAAGAAGCTACTGGTGTCCTCAGTCATCCAGCAAACTTTATCTCAGGGAAGCTACAAGTCAGCTTTCCCTACAATCATTCAGCAAGTAAAACCTTTAACTGCGGCCTTTATCTCCAGGGTTCCTCTGGTTACGTTTTGCCACAGTCTCTTCACCATCGCTCCACCACCATCACCACAGTTTTGTACAGGGTGGAAAGTGCTTTCTTACATTGGTCCCACAGCTGTCAATGATTTGCAAGACTGTGCATCCACTATTAAGGTAGCTCCCCAACGGGGACAGATGTAATGGCTAGAAAAGCCAATTTCTATGATTCTGACCCTCTAGTAGGGAAGAAAAACTCATTTTATCTTGCTAATGGATAGGTCAGCAAAAGTGTGAAAGCTAGTATAATAAATGTTCAAAATAAATTCAAGTCTCTAGCAAAGAAATACATTTGAAGTTAGAGAAGACTAAGCTAGAGAGCAGAGTCACTGGGAATGTTCTAAGGGTCCTCAATGGGCTGAAACTCTCATAGTGAGTTCTAGGAATCAAACTCTCAACAGACTGGTCATCTGGGGTAATGAGGGTAGGTAAGCTGGAGACAGTGAGATTGACTCAGGATAGCATGAGATTCAAAGCTATCGTGCACAGGGCCTCTGTGAGTCACAGTCAGCTCAATAGCACATGTTGTTGTTATGTACCATCGAGTTGGAACCAACCCATAGCTGACACTCCAGTGGGTTTTCAAAGGCAGTTAATTACACAAGAGGAAATTGCCCATTCTCCCCCAGAACATCTGATGGATTCAAACCTTGTGCCATCAGGAATACAGCGCAACAATATAAATAATGGCCATGTCACCTCCATCCATTCATGTTTGTTCTTTGAAGACTTGATTGTCTTGTTTGTTTACAAGTTAGTCCCTATACTATGAGTACTTGAGGCTAAAGATTACGCCTCTTTGCTTCCCTAGTTTGGGCCTACGCCCACGCCTACAGGTTGTGCTTTGTACATAGATTAATTACTTAAAATTCTGATGCTTCAGAAATTTGATATCTGTCATACTTCAGGAATTTGACTTCAGGAATTAAGCCATCTCACTTAAATGATTATCCTTTCTTCATCATTTTAGAGGGAGGAGTACACGGAGGCCACTTCACCACCCATTTGATAGGAAAACTATAGTTCAGAGTGGAAGGTGATATCACTTCCCCAGTTACCTTCTCCAGGAACGTTCCCCCTTACAGTCCCTTCTTAAGAGCTCCAGAGAAGGGGACCCCTCTTGGACTCCCCACTTGGACCCTACTCCAGGGTCTCAGCCTGGGGTTAGAAAGGCCTTTCTCTCTTACGGAAATAACGTTTCTTTCATTTGTCTCTATTCCATCTTGCAGCCCCGCTGTTCAAGACCCTGCTGCCCCAGTCTGAACAGGGATAGGAAGGGGAGGGGTTTCACCCCCAGCTGGTTGCCAGCACCCCTCCATCCGGCAGTGCATGTATCCACACTAACACCAGGGGCCATGCAGGACCAAAGTGGCAGAGGGGCGAGCTGCAGCCTCTGCTAGCGAGGGCACAGACAGATCTTCCTAGCGGATGCTTTACAGCATCTTTGAATGACTGGGCAGATCTGGTAACAGACGCAGGCACACACATATACGCATCCCAGGAGCACACACAGTGTCTCTGTACTGCCCTCATTCAAGTTCCCCGACAGCACAGGAACAGTCACAGCAGCTCCGGGCTCTGCTCCCAGTCAATCTTCCAACACAGTCTGTCTTCCAGCAAGTAGTTATTTTGGGGAGATTGTGGAAGCTGTCAAGAGGCTTTAAGTTTGGTTAGACCCAGAAAACATTTGGATGCGTTTTTACCTTCAATTTAACCAAATTCAGACATGGTCATTCAGCCGATCAGTGGAAACACTCGGGGAGTTTTCAAATCAGTTTGCTCTCTGGGTCTCACATCCAGGCATTCTGATCTCATTGATCAGAGAGGTGTGGCCTGTACAACAAGATTTTGTAAACTCCCCAAATCATACTAAGGTTAAGAACCAAAGATGCAAACTCCTCATGCCTTACCCTGCTCAGAATTTAAAAGGAATAAAGAAAGTAGATGAACTGCCCAGGTCTGTGGGCCCACGGAACCCGGTACTATCCCCTCCCTCTCCCTCCCTCTTGCAGCCCAGCGGCTAGCTCAAGGTGCTGGAAAATCGGCGCGCGCGTCTACGCTAACCAGGCGGCGGCGGGTGGGCGCGGCGGC